GGCTCAAGCCGATTGGCAGATTTGTACACATCGTTGTTTGGCTGACACAAAGATCTTGATGGTAAATACAGTGTTTTTCCGTTAGTCACGAGACATTAGACTGTCGCAAGTTTCTTCTGATGGAAAGAGTGTTTGTCACCGACACAATGAGACAGTGTAACGCGCAGAGACAATACCAGGCGGCAAGACAAAGATCGAGCAAATAATTCACTTGTAAACATAGGTGAGTTGCTCGAGCGGTGACTCGATATTACCGTCGTCCAGCACACGCTCCGCGAGAATCCGCTGGACGATTTTAATGAGCACGCAGAACCGCCGATGTGATTTTCCAATTCGGAACAATATCCAATCCATTACTTGCATTTATTATTATTTTCTCAGTCATATTTGTTGTTTGGACAAACTTTTCGTGTGACATATTGTGACATGTTTTAACCTTAGAGAATATTTTGTAATTGTCTGATATACAGCAACTAATGCATTTAAAACTTCGTTCTATATCGTCGAGCGGAAACGATCAGACGCGTTCATTGCCTAATGGATAACAAGGATTAAAAAACGACACGAACTTTTTTCCAAACCCAATATACGAACGAATTCCACCAAAACTGCGAATACGATCCTCGTACCACGCGCGGCACGAGACGCAACCGAAGCTATCGAGCGGAAATGATCGGGCGCGAAAACGACACGAACATTTTTTCCAGACCCAACATACGAACGAATTCCGCCAAAACTCTGCGAATACGCTACTCGTACCACGCGCGGCATGAGACGCAACCGTGTGATCGAGCGGAAACGATCGGGCGCGTTTGTTATATTCAAATACCTGGTATAAAAAGAACAGGCGCACTGTGAACATTTTTTGGTGCATATTTCCATTCAATGACGGCACTTTGGCGGACTGAACTGTTCCAGCGAAATGATTAATATTCTCGTTTATCAACAAACGATGCGGAAATAAAGGCTTTCGCCGCAGTGAAACAAGCACCTTTCTCGTTCCCTGAAACGCATTCATCGCTCGAGGACGTTCGACGCGTGTAACGTAAAGTTACACACGGCGACGAAACCGACAGGCCTTCGGCATCGAGCGAGCGTCGGTTGGCGCACTGAGGAGCGCTGCGCTGAACGCGAGTACTTGTATACTTTTTCCCCACCACAGGTTAATTTCTTCCACGTGTCTAACATTGCCCACTCTGTGCTTGGTTGCATGGGGTAACACGCGTGTTGTTTTCGATTGCAGCGAAAATGGGATCGTGTAAACTTTGTTCGAAAGAAAAAAAAACGTTCGTTGTCGAAAAGAAACATTTTATTGCTCTACATTCAATGCGAAATATGATCGTCGTGAGATCGCGCTCGCACGTTCGATTCTTCGACCGCGGTCGGTAGTTGTTCCTGACGATCGAATCGTTCGATCTCATCTCTGTCATCGGTAGCGGCTCGCTTGAGTGCCATATCGTATACAACGGCGCAACGCGACGACCAGAAGGCATGCGCGAAAGCGGGCTCGTCCGAACGAGACCAGTTGGACAACGATACGCCGCAATGGCAACACAGGGTCCTGTCACCGCGTCCGCTATAGAAGAGACCGACTCGAGTAATAAGTCGAATGTGTTCAATCGTTATCCAGTCAGCGTGATGTACGAGGATGTCGTCGAACGTGGACACGCGTCGCTCAAACAGCGCGTAATCGGCGTGTCGAGGAGGCATGACGCTCGATACGGGAGGACCGTCCAATAACACCTTCGTCCAAATAAGTTCCATGAGGGACTTTGTTGCGCGCACAATACAATATCGGGCAGAACGTGCGAAGTCGTCATAGTTTTTGTGATCAAATTCGTAGACTACGAATCGGCGCCAAACGTGTCGCCGATGAGATCTCCTCGTCGACACTGATTCATTGTCGCGCTCGAGCGTCGACTCGAGAGGCGACCAGCGCGTTATCTGCGATAACGAGAGCGATGATAGAAGCATAGCTGTAGGTAAGGGTACCGCTCGATCGAACAGTGCGCCGTACGATTGAACGTATCCGACTCCCGCAGCTCCGAGATCGGCGCTTCTGTGCTCCATGCCGCACATTCGCGGAACGCCCGTCAATTTTCGAGCCTGTGAAATCGTCATCCACGGTTCCAGACACGCCGTTCCGTTCCCCAGCGCACTATGCAACGTACGACGATCGAAAGCATCCTCGCGCGCAGTGCGATCGTTTGGTATGCATGTGCGCAATCTTTCGTCGTAACGAGCCATATCGCCACTCGCATTTATTCTCTTCGAAATTCGGCGTGATCGACTCATCCGCGTGCGGAATGAGAGAAGCGCACGTGTTGCGCAGTAGGAACAAACGATCGAAAGGCGCGGTCACGCACTCATTGTCGCGTTCGTCCCGCAAAGACGGAGGGCACACGATTCGAAACCCTCCGCCACCGTCACCGTTCGGATTGTGAGGCAACAACTTGTCAATCGAATCGAACGTGAGCGTAGAATCTATGTGTCCGTGCCAGATTTTGCTGGTGGCTCGATCGAGCAACTGACCGTTGCAAACGACGATTCGATTATCGCCCTCGTCGGCGAACGCTCGCGTTTGAGACAAACATCGCCAGCCGTCGGAGCCGTAAACCGTCAGACTCGTATTCTCGTTGCAGATGGCAGCGTCGGTCGGTACGCAGTAGCCGCCCACGCGACCGCGTCGTCCGTTTAGAAACATACCCAATCGATCGTAGTAACGGTACTCCACGCCGTCGGTCACGCCGCAATACGTTCTGCAATCCACGTATTCGTTCGTCGACGTGACGAACGAGTCGTGCGTCAGACACTCGGTTCGTCGCAAAAATTGGCCTCTCTCGGTCGAACCGTCGCCGTCAACGACGTCCTCGCCGTCGCGGTCATTTGCGTCGACGGAGCGTCGTTGCCGACGCAGTTTGGCGCCGACGAAGCGTACTCGCGGCAACGAATCGATACCGACGCCCATGCGACGCCGCAATCGTCGAGCTCGATCCAATCGGGCGGATCGATGGCGCCGATCGGACTCGTCCGTTGCGTGGTCAACGCTCCCGTCCTCCTCGTACCAATCTGCGAGATCTCGCTCGATCGCATCGATGCGCGGACGATGAAACATCTCGAAGTACAACCATCGCGCGATACAATACAACGAGGTGAAACAGTTCACCGCCAGAATCAATCGGAGGATCGAAACACCGCCGTCTCTCTTCATTCGTCTTCGTCGCCGACGCGCGCACGGTTCGCGTCGTGCGAACTGTGCGTCATTCGGGGTATACGGAGCATGATTGCGAACCACCCTGTATATACCAAAATAAAAGAATCTCATGTAGTACATATATAATTATTTTTCTTGGTAAAATTCCGGTGGCAAAATATTTTAAATGTAAATTTTTTAATAAAAATTATATATATGATAATTATATATATGAATATTCAGATAATGACTGCCAAACGAACACTGCTGTAACTGTAATTAAAACAATAAACTGTGATAATATAAGTAGAAATAACAATGAGAATAACATGTGCAATAGAAATGATGGTTATGAGAAAAATGTTCATGTGTCTTTATCCTATGGTAAGGTCACGTATATTAAAAGTTTCTCTATATATGTAACGGTAATGCCCGCGGGGTTCGGTGCGATCGGTCGCCCCACCGTCGCGCCCGGCTCGCCGCTTCCGCGACGCCTCGCTCGCCGCCGCGCCGGTGCGTTACTCGGGTGAAGGGCTAATTCAAGGTAGCTTCTCGGAAGAAATGTGTGTTCAGCGTTTCTGTGTTAACAAGTTGGGTGCGTCCCGCAAGGCGCCCCGTTTATTTAAAAGACGTTCGATGCTATATAAGATATATATATATAAAAGTATGTGGGCGGCTCGCTGGCCCAGTGTGGCGTCGGCGATGTCCGTTCCTTGGTGCCCGTGATTCCTAGCTGCAAGGGTGGTCCCCTATCCGCGGGATCAGAGGGGATGTTCCGCGGTCTCTTGGCGGTCCGACGTCCTCGGCCACGAGTCCTGTTGAGGGCGACTTACGCCAGCTGTTCTTTAGATAAGCGGGAGGTGGTTTATTCCGGGCAGCTTACCACGGTCACAAAGTCGGACAAGCACTGATAATTCCGCGAACCGATGCTTCGGAAATATTCTACGTCGGTGGCCAACGGCTGCCAGTGCAGACGGACGAACACTTATCCTCGCGCACAGGAATTTAGAAATTAATCTACGTCGGTGGATAATTGCTACCGACGCAGACGGACGAGCACTTATGAATCGCGGAACGGCGGCGAACTGCTGCCGTTTGGTCGGAAGCAGATACTTAGAAATATCCTGTGTTGGTGGCTAACTGCTGCCGACACAGACGGACGAGCACGTATAAATCCGCGAACAGAGACTTAGAAGTATTCTGTGCCGGTGGCTAACTGCTGCCGACACAGACGGACGAATACGGTAAATTCGCGAACAGATACTTAGAAATATTCTGTGCTGGTGGCTTACTGCTGCCGACATAGACGGACGAGCACGTATAAATCCGCGAACAGATACTTAGAAATATTCTGTGCCGGTGGCTAACTGCTGCCGACACAGACGGACGAATACGGTAAATCCGCGAACAAGTACTTAGAATATTCTGTGTCGGTGGCTAACCGCTGCCGACACAGATAGACGAATACGGTAAATCCGCGAACAGGTACTTAGAATTATTCTGTGTCGATGGCTAACTGCTGCCGACACAGACGGACGAATACGGTAAATTCGCGAACAGAGACTTAGAAATATTCTGTGCCGGTGGCTAACTGCTGCCGACACAGACAGACGAATGCGGTAAATCCGCGAACAAGTATTTAGAATTATTCTGTGTCGGTGGCTAACTGCTGCCGACACAGACGGACAAGTACGGTAAAGTCGCGATACCTGGTCGGCCGACGAGGCTCGGCTGCCGGGTCTTGTAAAATTTCCCGGTGGTTCGGTACGGTGTGGAAGCTTTACTCACCGGCGGATGCCTTGCCTTCTCATCGACTTCTCTTCACCATTCTCGCTAGAGCTCTCCTGGTCGCTGATCTGGTCGACTCACTGTCTCTCACGGTCTGCCGCGATCTCTTGTCGAGAGCAGGTTTTATACCCTAAATTCCTCTCGACGATCGGTGGCCGATAATCGGGGGATTAGTTCCCCGCGATTTCCCGGAAAGTCGCGCATGCGATTTTCGCGAATTACCCCTTTCTGGGGGGACCGATCTTCCCCGACCGCTTCGCAGAATTCGGCTTTTTCCGGCAGTCTGGCGGGTTTCCGCGGCATAGGTGTTGCCGGGCGCTTGGCCCGGCATGATTTCTCGCGATCGTGTGACGATCGGTGGTCGCCGTCACACGGTAGTAACGGAGGTAAAACTCCTCGTTACATATATAACTATACAGATTACTATAAATATTATATAAATATATTGTCCTTTCATGTTCAGAAAATACTAACTCTTTAAATTGTAATGATGAAATAATGTGACTGAAAATAATGTGACTGAAAATAATTTGACTGAAAATAATGTGCCTGGAAATAATGTGACTGAAAATAATGTGACTGAACATAATGGGACTAGTCTGATTCTCACTAACTCTGATTCTCAAAGGAATATTCTTATGCCTGTACTTGATGGTGAGTATAGATATAGATATGAATATAGATACAAGTATTTCTACATACTTCTTAAAAATGTTACATAGCCTTTGCGGTAGATACACTCAAATATTGAGCGTTTACACGCGATTATTCAAATTTGCTCTTTCTTTTTTTTATAACGCAGAGGAAATCCATCTTGCGTACCACCGCCCCCTGGGAGGGGCAGGGAGTTATGTGAGACTCTTACTCACTAAAACCCCTGTGGGATGTCTACCAGTCGGACCGAGATGGGGGGAGTCAGGGGAACTGCGCCAACATTCCCTCCCCGACACCCCGGCCCCAGGGCTCTAACGGAGCCCCACGCCCAAGTACCGCGCCCGTGTGGACCTTCTCGAGGGAGAGGGTCCGGGCGCGGTTCCCCGATCGGCGTGCCGATCGGGTTGGCCTTCCGATACGTTATGGGAGAGAGAGAACACCCACCCACCCTGCCCGCCCCCTCCTCAGGAGTGATTTCCATTCAGGAGGGGGCGGAGGAGCGAGACCATTTCCCAGAGGGCCTCGCTCCCCCCTACCCTACCCCGCCGACGCCCGGGGGAAGGCGAGAGGAGGCTTGCACCCCTTCCTCCTCCAATCCTCTCCCGCGCGACCGCAGTCGGGCTCGAGGCGGCCGAGGGGACGATCTCCGGTTGTTCAAAGATCGTTGCTTCCCCCCGGCCGGCGCCACCTCGGACCCGCTACCCTGACCTGGAGAGCCCCGTCCCTCCGCCGTCTCCTCGGACGGTCGGAGGGGCGACGATCTCACTCGGCGGCCTCCTTCTGGGACGTGTCCTTGCAGAAGGAGGCCGCCTCCCCCCACACATCCTCGCTCCCGCACATGACGCAAACCATACGCGGGAGCGAGAGGGCCTCCACCCTGCACCCCACCGCCCGGGCCAAGACTCGGCGCCGCTGGTCCCATGTGGGGCACGAGACCAGCGTGTATTGCGCCGAGTCCATCCACTCCGGGCAGCGGTGGCACTCGGTGGTGGGTTCCTTTTCTATCCTGTGCAGGCACCTCCCGAAATATCCGTGTCCGGTCAGCACCTGCACCAGGTGAAAGGACAGTCCGCGGTCCCTCCTGCCCATCATTTCTCGTAGTCAGGGACGGACAGCCTCGGCCGTCCAGCGCCCGAACCCCCGTGGGTCCGCCAGAAGTGGGGCGGACCACTTCTCAAGTCTCCGGGCACAGGCCTGGGCCTTTGGGGCCTTCAGGTTCCTTTTTTTTGTTCACGCAGGGAAATCCATCATGGATACCCCCGCCCCCTTGGGGAGGGTCGGGGGTTATGTCGGACTCCTACCGACTAAAACCCCTGCGGGATGTCTACCTGTCGGCCCGTGAGGAGGGGAGTTAGGGGAACTGCTTCCGCATTCTCTCCCCAACTCTGCGGCCCAAGGGCTCTAATCCAAGAGCCACTCGCTTCCTTGTACCGCATACCCCCTTCCCCTTTCGGGAATTAGTAGGAGAGGTGCAGTCCCTGGCGGGTAACCCCGCCGGTTGGCCTTCTGGTGTCACCTTGGAGGAAGGGGACATCCACCCTCCTTATCCCCCCTTACCTATAGGGAGAGGGGGGATTTTTGGGGAAGTGGGCCCGATCCCAATCGGGTTCGCCACCTCCCCTTCTCCTCCCTATCCGATCATCCTATCCGGTCTCCCTCCCGCTCCTCTCCGAGTGGCGGGGCCTGGCCCGAGGTGACCGAGGGAGCCGCCGGCCCGTGTAAACCAACAGCCTCTCCTCGTCCGATGCCACCTCGGGCCCGCTGTTAATACCCCCCCAGAGGAGCGCCGAAACCGCCATCCTCTCCGACGGCGTTTGCCAGGCCGGCGCCTGCATTCGGCGGCCTCCTTCTGGGAGATTACCTCCCCGCAGAAAGAGGCCGCCGCGTCCCACGCCCTCTCGCTCCCGCACATGGATCGCACCAGATGCGGGAGCGAAAGCTCTCCGTCGCGGCAATCCACCGCCCCAAGCAGGATCCGGCGCTGCTCATCCCATGCTGCACAGGCAGCTAGGGTATGCAGCGCCGTGTCCTCTTGCTCGGGGCAGTGGTGGCACCGAGCGATGGGCTCCTTCCTTATCCGATGCAGGTATCTCCCGAAGCACCCATGCCCGGTCAATACCTGCACCAGGTGGAAGGACATTCCACGCCCCCTCCTGTCTGTCATTTCTGACAGATAGGGGCGGACAGCCTCGGCCGTTGCGAGACCGGACCCTCGGAGGTCGGCTAGCAAGCCTTCCCACCGCTCCTGGGTCCGATCTCTGGCCTGGGTCATCAGGCCCTTCAGGTCCCTGGCCGTCAGCTCTCCCCCCTCGCGGAGCTGCTTCACTCGCCAGTAGAGGATCCTCCTCTCCTCGGCGAGGAGCTCCACAGGAGAGGAGCCCGCCAGGGTGGTCGCCGCCATGTATGACACAGTGCGGATCCCCCGAATCGCCCTGATCATTAGGGGCCTAAGGGCTTGCCTCAGCTGCCTCTTGACCACCGCGGATGCCAGCAGCTGAGGGGCCCATATAGGTGCCCCGTATAGGGCGATCGAGAGAACCGCACCGATGTACAGGCGGCGAGCCTGCCATCCTGGGCCCCCCTGGACGCGCATCAACCTGGACACGGCCAGGCCGGTTTTGCGCACCCCGGGGGCCAGCAGCCTGAAGTGTGGGCCGAATGACCACCGGCTGTCCAACGTCAGGCCGATATATTTCTTCGTCGGCCCGACGCGGACGTGGACGCCATCGACTAGGACCCGGGTCTCCGGCGGCGCCCGACGCCGGCCGTGAAAAAACAGTCTGAGTCTTCAGGGGCGCCACCATGAGACCGAGGTCTCCGATGGTTCTCACCACCGATGCCACTGCCACCTCCGCGCGGAAGCGGGCCTCATCCCAGTTCCCTCCATCGGCCACCACTAACGTGTCGTCTCCGTAGCAGACGACGTGGCAGCCGTTGGGGAGCGAAGTGCGAAGGACACGGTCGAAGCCGATGTCCCATAGCAGGGGGCCGAGCACCGACCCCTGCGGGACATCGCTCTCCATAGTGCGCCAGCTTTGAACCCCGCCTTCCTTAGTGAAGGTCTCTGTCCCCGAAGTAAGCGGACATTATCCGCCGGAGATAGGCGGGCACCTCGAAGTGCTCGAGGGGCCGTCCTATCTCCGGCCAGGGCAGGGTGTTGAAGGATTTTGATATGTCGAGCGACACAGCCAGCAACACCCCGCCCCTTATCTCCACGACCGCCCGGGTCAGGTCCCGGACCCACTGGATCGCATCCAGCGTGGATCGTCCGGGACTGAACCCGTATTGGCGGTCGTGGAGGTCCAACCCACTCGAGGACATGTGCTGGACGAGGCGGTCGGCAATGATGCGCTCCAACATCTTGCTGGCCTCGTCCAGCAGGCACATCGGCCTGTAGGCTGACGCACTACCGGGCTCCTTGCCCTCCTTCGGGAGGAGGGCTAACTTGGCCCTCCTCCACTCTGAGGGGAAGACTCCCTCCCGAAGGCATCCAGTCATGACCCTGCACGTGGCCGAGGACAGATTACCCTCGGCCAACGCGAGAGCCCAGGCGCGGCCCGTCGGGGCTAGGGGCTTTGCCCTTGCCCCCGAGCTTTCTCCGGGCCTTGGCGAGCTCCTCTGGAGTGACCTCCAGGCCCTCGTCCCAATCCCTCTCCCCCATCTCTAGGGAAGGAATCACTGGGGGGCCCTCTTCCGCCCTTGGAAAAAGGGCATCCAGGAGCCCTTCAAGGGCCTGGGGGTCCAACGTTTCCGTTTGCGGGGGCGTCCAAGGACGGATCTTTTTCATCGTCCTTTTGTATGGGCGCCCCCACGGATCGTCATCCAGGGAGCTCACCAATTGCTCCCAGGCTTCTCGCTTGGCCTTCTTGATGGCTGCTTTGAGGACTACCCTGGCTGCAAGGTAATTCTCTTTTGCCCCTATGGCATCCCTGTCTCGTCACCGGGCGCGCGTATATGCCCTCCTGGCCCGGTCGGAGGCACCGCGGAGTACCGTGATGTCCTTCGACCACCAATATGCCGCCCAGCGCCGACGGGGGTGGGAATGGGGCATCGCGGCGTCGCACGCCGACGCCACTATCCCCGTTATCTCCCAGGCCCCTTCTAGGGGGCCGGGGTCCCACTCACCTGGCTCTATGTGCCAGGTGGCTACAAGGACAGCAGCCTGGAACCTGTCCATATCGAGTCGACTGAGGGCCCATCTTTTGGGGAGAGGAAAATTTCTCTCTCCTGGGCGGCGAGCCAATACCTGCCTCAGTTTGGGGAGGCGGAGAGCCCAGACTATATAACTGTGATCAGATAGCGTCTCGCCCTCCGCCTTCACCCACCATTCAGAGATCATCCTTGCAGCCGAGAGGGTGGCCCAGGTCAAATCAATAACCGATGATACCCCTCGCAGCCTTACGCAGGTGCCGGTGGACCCTCTGTTTACCAATAGAAGGTCCGATCCCGCCGCCCAGCCGATGACCACCTCGCCCCTGGGTTCCCGCTGCCGGGGATTGCAACCACACTCCTCAGAGTGGGCGTTGAAATCCCCGGCAATCACGACAGGTCGGGTATGGCACTTGCGTACCACATCCCCGACACTGTCTAGGATCCCTTTTATGCGGGCGGCCAAGTCCGGCTTTACTTCTGTGGTGGGGGAGATATACCTCCACCACAGTTACGGGCCCCCAGTCGACCGCCACGTACGAGGACCCCTTTTCCTTTAAAATACAAGGAGGGGTCCCCGCTGCAGGGTCAACCACCATGGCCACCGAGCCGGCCGGGCTGCCGAACCAGCATTCGCTGCTGATCGGCATTCAGTTCGGCTCGGTGGCCAATCCCAGCCCGGCGCCCAGTTCCCGGATCCTGTGCACCCACAGGTCCTGGGCCCGAGCACCGCGGCCGAGGTTCGCCTGTAGCACCCGGAGTGGTGTGAAGGCTAGGCCTTGCACGCCTCCTCCGGGCTGTCTACTTTCACCCCCTCTTGGGAGACCTCTGGCGGCTGGACCGCCTCGGTCTCCCCAGAGGGATTTTCGGCTTTGATGGCTACAACCTTCGTCTCTTCATGCGCGGAGGACGACTGCCTCACGGATGTCCCTACCTGTTCCGCTCCCTCCCCTGGGGGGTATGAGGGGGAGTCATCTTGCGGAAAGTCCGCTGCGGTCGGTGGCGCTTTCGCACCGTTCGCGCACATGCCCTGGCTCTAAACACCGGTAGCATAATTTGGCGCGAGCGGGCAGCGCCACTACCCCGGCGCGAGTCCATCCGACTTGGACTCGCTCCGCGGCAGCTGCCTTCGCGGCAGCCGCCAGCGTACTTCGCATCACTACCGTGCCGGTCCCCCACCGGGAGACGTTTACCACGCCGGAGGAAACCTCCTCCGGCGTGCATCCCCTGGCGAGGGCCACCGCAGCCGCCATCTCGTCGGCCCCGGTCGTCGCATCCAGGCCGGTCAATTGCAGTGCTGCTATCTTGACCGGCCTACGGATGCGAAAGCCGGAGCCTTTCTCCGTCGCCAGCTTGCGGAGCTCTTCCGCAAGCCGGTCGGCGGCTGTCCCCGCGGTTAGGCCAGGCACCTCAACCAGCATGTCCCTGTTTAGGGCCTGTGTGACTCTCAGGGACCCTGGAATGCCCAGGTCTGCTGGTTTTATACGGCGCCTGGCCTCCTCCATGAACTCCCGATAACGATCGGGGGGGCAGGTGATGGTGACGGCTGCATTCTTCGGCGGCTTTGGCCTACCCGGTCTCGCCGCCCTCCTCTCTCTTCGTCCCTGGGGAGAGGAGGGGGAGGGGTTGGGGCCTTGTTCGCCCTCCCCTCCCCCTTCTTCTCCCTCCTCCCCAGGACCTGGGACCATGTCTCCTCCTTCACATGAAGGGTGCACTTTAACCCTTCCACTACGCCCATTCCCTCCAGCCTCTCTGACGGGATTTCCAGTCCTCCTCCTTGGGCAGTCTCCTTCTCCCTCTCCTTCTGCAGTCTTGCCCTTGCCTTTTTCCGCTTTCTCTTCTCTCTGGCCCTTTCCCTTTTCCTTGAGAGCTCCGCTGTGGTCGGTTGCACCTGGGCCTGGTCCTTCCTCCTGCAACGGTTCTCTTCCTTCCCTTTTTGGGCCTGGGCAGGTGCGGGGGTTCCCGACCCCCGTGACCCGGCTCTCGTCCCACCCCCAGACGAGGTGAGGCTTCTGATCAGTCAGTCGCCTCACCCCGCCCGGAGATCCCGGGCCATGGTCGCCATTGAGGCGTCCAGTTCCCCCCGCATCTTGCTCGGCTCAGATCTCACGTCAGAGAGTGAGTCTCCCTCGGGAGTCTGTCGTCATAGACAGGACATACCCCCGGGAGATTCTCCCTCTCTCTTACCTCTCCCTTGAGAGAGGAAGAGGAAGAGGAGGCGATTCTTGCCACTCTCCTCCTCTTCCTCTCTTTCTTCCTTCTTTTCTCCTCCTTCCCCTCCTCCTCCGCCGAGGTGGTCGCTCTTCCGCTCGCCACCTCAGCGTAGGTTCTCCTTGCCGACTCCGATTGGGGGGGGCTGAGTATGAGCCTCCCGGGCCTTGCTCTCCTGAAGCTCCTGCTGGAGCTTCATATCTTCCGCTCGCAGTGCCCTTATGCTCCCCCTCAGATTCTCCAACTCCCTTGTCACCTCCGGTCTCGCTGCTCCTGCGCAATCTTGTGCCGCTACCCTGGCAATCAGGGTCGACATAGCCGCGTGTGTGGTGACCATGGCCCGGTTTAACAGGCAGGTGAACGTGCCTTTAAGGGTGTTCGAGTGCTTGGCCACCAGCCCGACCGCACCCACGGCCCGCCCTACCTCGTCCGCAAGCTCTGCCGACTCCACCCCTCTGAGGAGCCCCACTGAGGATCTGTCTTTGAACACCTCCTCAGCGGGGCGCTTGTCCGCCAGGGTATGGCATATTCCCCTTTCGAGGAGGTTCCATGCCTCCCTTTCCAGCTTTTTGAGGCGCTCCTCCTTGTTCTTCGCCTCACTTTCTTTCCTCTCCTTTATTCCAACCCCCAGGCCCGTCGTGGCTGGTCTGCCTCTCTTCTTCTGTTCCGGTACCAGAGCCGGGTCCGATCCCTCCACTATCTCCACCGCCGTTGTGGATCCCTCACTGGTGAACGATCTCCCTCTCTTCTTCCCCGTGGCCGCTGGTGGTTGCAGCAGGGTCCTCTCCTCCGTTTTGCGGATCCGGTACCTGGACCCTTGAGAGGAGGATGTCAGTGACGACTACCGGGCCAGCGACCCTCGCCCCCGACACCCCCTCCCCCTTCTCCGTCCCCCATCGATGCCCCCGAGTGCCCTCTCGGTCTTATTGGGGGCAGACTCCCTCTGCCTCTTTTTTGTGCAGAGGGGGCCAGGCTTCCTGGCCCCTGGTACTGGCGTCCCCTGGCCCGCAGGGATCCTAGACCCCAGGGATATGTCTGTCCCTCGTAGGGTGGCCGCTCTCGTGACCCTACGCGGAGAGCTCACCTTACCAACCCTCCGGTGAGGGCGGTTATCCCGGCTACTGTCATCAGTACCCGTTGAAGGGGATGGGCTTCCCTCAGTTGATGGTCCCTCGGAGGCTACTCCTCCGAGGTCCATCGGCCCTCTCTCCCCGGGGGGAGGGGAGATGGAGCCCGCCGGCAGATCTCTGCCCATCCTTACTCTTCTTTCTTCCTCGTTCAAAAAATCACCTGCCAAAGCAGGTGGTGAACCCTTAGGCGAGTTGCTACACCCGCCTGTACGGAACTCTGAGTCCGAAGACTCGGAGAAGTATTTTGTTTTAAATTGAGATCTCATGTTGTTCCTACGAGTACGGCGGGAAGTGGGCATCGACCCCAGGTAGAGCCTCCGCATTACCCGGGGTAAGGCTAGCGTGTCCCTTGGGTTCGCCAGGTGCCCAAGGTGAGGAACCACTAGCGACAGGTCACGCACCTGCCATTCATCCTATAAGCGTGGCATGCCTCAACCGTAGGATTACGGGTGTTTTATAGAGGACCCGCCTCGCGTTCCGGCTAATTAAGGCAAGACCCCCGGCCCCAGAGACTATGACCTAGGGTTACGGTG